GTAAGAGGTAGCTTATTATAATTTTGGTTCCAAACAAATAGGCAATTTGATAGCTGAATAAGGTCACACAATTTAAGGACATAAAAAAAAGAGCATGCTACAGTTCGAATTAGTATGTTGGAAGTAAATTAATTTTAGAGCTTTGTTTTGGAGATAAGTTAGTCTTAAAAAAGCAAGCTGCTTAGATTGTCCTCAAACTTGGCAAGCATATCTGAGATAGAGTAAAAAATAGCATGATGTATATTAAGCAAAGTTTCATGATTAACATAATGACGAATTTTAGCTAAAATACCATTCGATCTGCTTAGTTTCTATGCTAAGTCTTGAAGATGCGATGCAAAAGATAAAGTAGAGTCTATTTTGATTCCAAGATATTTAATAGAGTTAACTGGATTTATTTTCTGCCCACTTAATCTGAAATTTAATTGCTTATTTATTTTTGTTTGAACAGATTTAAACATAATAATTTCCATTTTTTTAGAGTTAAGAGATAATTTATAGGAGCGGAGTCATTGAATTAACTACATTAACATTATTTAGATCTAGAACATTAACTAAATCGTGATTAATATTTTTGTTAAGTTTTTTAAGTGATTTGTTAATTAGGAGTAAGTTGGTGTCATCCGCAAAGTGATAAGCACTAGAAAATTTAAGAGAAACATTCAAATCATTGATAAAAATAAGAAAAAGTAATGGACCTAAAACCGAGCCTTGCGGAACACCATTAAAAGGTTTAGCTAGTCCTGAGTTGATACAATTAATTGAAACAAATTGTGTTCTATTACAATGGTAAGAAGAAAACCAGAGAAAAGGAATACCTCTTATATTGTAGTGTTTCAGTTTTTCTTTGAGGATTGTGTGCTCAACTGTATCAAATGCTTTTCTTATATCAATAAACACTCCACACGCAAAGTGTTTATTATCGATGGCTTGTCTAATTTTCTCTGTAATTTCTATTAACGAATGAGTTGTTGAGTGTTTGTTGCGAAAACCATACTGGTGTTTGTAAATAAATTTATGCTTTTCCAAAAAATGGTTGAGTCTTTGGAACATTGCTTTTTCAAACAATTTACTTAAGTTAGAAAGAAATGAAATAGGTTGATAATTGGAGTAGTCTAGATAAGAACCCATTTCGTGTATAGGAATTACTTTGGCTACCTTAAAAGCTTCTGGAAAAATACCATTTTTGAAAGAATTATTCATCATAGTACATAGAGGTTTGGAGATTATGTGAGATACCAGCTTTAGTAGAAATGTTGGCAGACTATTGGAACCTAGGCTTTTATTACTTTTAAGAGTACCTTTTATGAGATTCGCCACCTCATTTTTAGTCACGGGATCAATGAAAAAAGAATTAGTACTAGGTATTTTAAGAAAGTTGCCAAAAACACATTTAGAGGGAACAGTATATTTAAGTAGTTCGTCTTGAACAGTCGCAAAATAATTATTAAATATATTAGCAACACTGGTATGATCTGAGATGACATTTTCATTGATTTTGAGATTAAAAGATTTAGTACAAGTAGAAAGTTTGATGTTTATAATTTCTATAATTCCTTTCCAGGTATTCTTTAAATTATTGATGTTGTTATTGAAAAAAGATGCATAGTACAATTTTTTAGAATATTTTAACAAATTGCTAATTTTATTTCTGTATAACTTAAATTTAGTAAATAACACATATTTTTGGTATTCACATTTTTGATCTAGTAAATTTTTTATAAAGTATGTTTTTATTAGAAATAGATTTAGGAATACCAGAAGTTATCCAGGGTTTGGATTGAAGTTTAATTTATTTTTTTGTTAATTCTTTGTATGGAGCATATCAGTCTAATATTTTTTCAAATGTTTTAAGGAAAAAATTTATAGATTCATTTATGTTATCATCTTCTTTTATGAGAAGTTCCCAGTTAATATCAGAAATTTCTAGGATAAAAGAATCAGAATCAAATTTTTTAAAGCTTCATTTAAACATTTTTACTTTTTTTTTAATGGGTGGGTTATTAGGAATACAGACAAATTGTGCCATGTGGTCAGAGATTGAAATTGTAAGATTACCAGAGATTTTTAGTACAATTTTTAATACAATTTTTTAACTCAGAAGGTAGAAATTTATACCTTACTAAATGTATATCACATATTCTACCCTTAGGTACAAACTTCTGCCTTTTTTCTAGAGTTTAGCTCTGCTATTACAACGTTTCCTTCTCGACTAGTAAATAAATAATCAAGTCGAGTAAATAAAAATTATCCTTTTATTTTAGTCAAGAAAATGAAAATTATCTAACTATATTCTAGGAACTAAACTCAAAAATAAAATTAAATCAAGTTAAAAAAGAAATAAATCAACAATGAGCAAAGCAACAAAATTGCTAATAGGCTATTTTGATATAGATGAAAATAAACGTTCAAAGCAATTTGTAAATTTTGTAAAATAAAAAGAAGAGGAACATTTGGCACCAAATTTCTTCTTTACATTTTACATTTATGTTTACATTACATTTACATTTCTTGATTTTACTCCTATCACTTTGCATAGTTTAGATTGCTTTCCTAAATTATAAATAGACACTAAATGCAGGGAAATCCTAATAAAAAATAGTTCAAAAAGTATTTAAAGGTGTATTTTGATGTTAAGTATTTAGTGGTTGCAGATATGTCAATATAATAATTATTATATTGACATATCTGCAACCACTATATACTTAACATCTAAATACAGCAAAAATGAATGCTTAAGTTAGGCATTCATTTTTGTTTATGAAGTAATTATACTTTTGCATACAAAATAGAAACACAAAAGTAAAAAAAAAAAGAATTTTCAAAACAATTGACATCGGCCGATGGTAATCAAGACCGATACCGATGCATTGGTGCACTTCTAATTAAAAGATTCGAAACTTTAAATATCAGAGTATTGAAACCTTACGAGCTTTATTCAAAAGTAGTCCCCACCCCCTCAGTTTTTTTTTAAAGCACCTTTTTTTTTTTTCTTTTTACATCAATTTGTAAAAAAAAGTCCTCCATATCTAGATTTTTCTTTAAAAAAATCTAGATATGGAGAACTTTTTTTACAAATTGAGAATTGTGCCCTCCCACTTCTAAACCCGTGTCGTCGACCCTGATTTCACAAGCTTTAATTTTTACTAGTTATTGATCTTTTAATTAGATAAATGAGAATCTTAAATAAACAGTTTTTTCAATCCTCATTTTAAATTTAAATTGTTGAATGGCGCGATATTAATGATATTCACGCTAATGTTCGGCGAAATTATGTAAAAAAAATGCATTTCCAGGTATATATATATATGTTAGGGTGGGCTAAACACCCCTCATTTTTGAAAATCAAAAGACACTGTTTTTCATATGCTGTGGGTGCACTATGTGATCAATAAAAAACAAAATTCGACTTGTAAAATTTAATTTGCAGAATTTTTAGACTCCGCTCAAAGGGCTCAAAGATTACATTTTCACTATAAAAATTTGCATTTCGACAGGTTAAACAACCTTAACAAATTAAAATAAAGTAATAACCTTTTTTATCTTGTTTTGTAAAGGTTTATGATTATTTTAAGCCTAATCTCATCGTAATTCAATAAGATTTAGACTCATACAAGCATTAAATTACCTCTAATCTTTATCGATCAAAAGGAAATAAGAAGAGATTTTGTTACAAAATTTTTAGGTGTTTATCTTGATGAAAACATTACTTAGAACCACCATATTGATTATATAAGCACAACAATCTCTAAAAACATGGGCATCCTCTATAAATCACGAATCTCAATAAGAAAGTCTTAATCCAACTTTATTATTCATTTATACATAGTT